TGTTTCCCGCACTTGGGGGGTGGTGGGGGCAGGGGCCCGGGGGACCCCCTGCCTGGTGGGGGGGGGGGTGATGCCCCCAGCGTGGCGAAGGGGCAGGGGTCTCGGTGCGCATGGCCACGCGTCGTCCCCTGCCCTCGGGGGTGGCTGGAGGTGTCACCTCTGCCTTGTGCCGTGCCCGGGGCCGGGTGCTTCCGTAGGCGTGAAAAAAACTGGCAAACCGGGAAAACCCCCATGTGCCGGGGCCAAGGGACCGGGTGTCACCCCGGCACGGCCACCCACGGGGTCCCCTTGCACGCCGCGGAAAGGGGGGGGGAGCAGCCAGGCGAAGGGCAGCGTCCCCCCGGGAACCGGGGTGCCCACGGGGCCCAAAAGCTGCCCCGGCGATGCCAGGGCCACCGGGGACCGGGAGCATCCCCGGCGGGGCCATGGTGGGAAGCACAGGAGGAGGAACGCGGCTGGAGGAGCCTTCGTCCCCATCCCGCAGCTCTGTCCCGGCCCCGGTGGGCTCTGGCCCCGCGACCCTCGTTAGCGCAGCCCCGGAGGAGTTAATGACCAAGCTCCGCAGCACTGGCGGGAGACACGACGCCTCTCCTCCTCCCGGAATTATGATAACCAGCCCGGGCTCTGCCACAGCGGGACCCGGGTAGTGGCTCCGCCGGCCGCCCCCCGCTCTGGTTTAATCGTTAACGCCGGCCGAAACGCTGAGCTGGCGGCTCCGGCAGCTTCGGTATTGTGCAATTCCCACGAGCATCGCCTGCCTGTTGCACAAGGGCTCCGGTGCCGCCAGCCAGAACCCCTTTTCCCAGGCAGGGTGGCTCTGCAGGGTGGCATTCCGGCGCTGGCATCCCTGGGAAATGCCGCCGTGGTACCTGGATTCCCTCTCCCAGGTGGGGGTGCAGAGAGAGCCAGGGCCTTGCCCGCGCTGCCTGTGCTCTCCTGAGCTGCCTGCTAGTGGGGTACAGAGCCGCAGGGGCCATTTGGGGTGTGAAGCTGCGTGGGGTACGGGGCTGTACGGGGTCCGGAGAGCCGTACGGCGTGTGGAGCTCTATAGGTGTGAAGCTGGTTTGGGCGCAGAGCCATACGCTGCGTGCAGCCGTACGGCACGCAGAGCCGTCACACGGGCTGTGGAGCCACGCAGGGTGCAGATCCTTACGGTGTGCAGCACCGTGCGGCGTGCATCACCACGCAGCGTGCAATACCTCGTGCAGCACCGTGCAACCCCCTGCAGAGTGCAGCACCATGATGGGCAGCCCACAGGGCCCCCCGCACCCGGCTGTCCCCGGGGATGAGGAGGGTGCTCCCAGCCCTACCTGCTCCCCTCGCTCTGATGCCGACCCCGACCTTCCCAGCCAGACCACGAGACTCCAAGTGATGTTTTGGGATGGATCCTTCATTTACCACCCAGTTTTTGAGCCTCCAGCTGGCGCTCCGGGCACATTTTCCATCACCCCAAGGAGCGGGCAGTTGCTCTTGTATTTAAATGTGAGTCCGGCTCTGCCGAGCCCCGCGGGCAGCGCGGGAATTAGGGGCAAGCGGTTGGTCCTGCACACGGGGCTTTTTCTGCTGCTGCTGTTGCAGGTTTGGGAGATGCTTTGGCCACCCCCAGCTCAGCGCAAGCAGAAGCTTTCCCTGGCCCGGGTGCAGCTCAGTGCCGAGCCGAGCCTGCCTTTCCCCGGGGAATCGGCACAGTGGTACCCACATCCCGACCCCGCGGGCAGTGCCAGCACCATCCTGACCCCGCGGGCAGTGCAGGGCCCATCTTGCCCCGGGAACGATGCTAAGAGGCGATGCTCCTGCGTGGGGCCGGTGCAGCCCAACCGCAGCTCCCGGGGGATTCGGGTGGTGCAGGAGGGACCCAGCCCTGGAAATCTGTGGGATGGGATGATGGAGAAAGGGAGCAGGGGAAGGATGCGGCCGGGGGCAGCCCACACGCCGGTGCGGAGCGGCTGGCAGCAGGAAGAGCGCGGCAGCATCGGCGCCAGCCGCCCCACGCCGTTTTCTATCGGGGCCCTTATCTCGCAGGGGGATGGGAGCAGCTGCCGGGGCTGACTCCTCTATCTCGAGCGGCTGTGGTTTGGCATCGAGCGTGGGGCTGACGAAGTGGCATGAGCGCCTGAAGCTGCCTCCCAGCTTTAACGTCTTCAGCCTGCAGCGGGTTTTGCTGAGCGCCTTGTTTTCGTTTTTAATCTCTTTGCCCGCTGTGATGTAGGGGCAAAGCTGCCGAAGGAAGGCGCGTGGCTTCCTGCCTGCCGCACGGCACGGCGGCTCTGCTGCCACAGGTCCCGGCCGGCTCCAGCAAAAACCATGCCAGTGTGCCATGAAGTTGGGCAGCCTCCGGCCGAACCACACAAAGCGGCTGTGCTACATCCAGAGGGGCTGCAGTCAAACCAGGGCCACCATCGGTGCAGCACCCTTGTCCCAGCACCTTCAGAGTTCATCCCCCAGGCGCATCTCCCAGGGGACACCGGGCATCCCTTGGGGTAGGGACGCCAAACTCCCCGTGGGGAGGAGAGGAGGAAAGTTTGAGCCCCAGGGTCCGAGGGTTCCTGGTGCGCGTCCAGCTCTCCTGAGCGTTTTTTTGGCACCCGTTGAGGCTGCAGCACCTGCGGGAGCGACACGGAGGCGAGCGGGCAGCAAACTCTCCCCAGCTCCGACCCTGACCCCACGCAGAGCCCCCGAGCCGCGGTTTTAGGCACAGCCACGGTGAATCCCTGCTCCGGGATGGCCCACCTCATTGCAGCAGCTCTTGGCAGCGGCTGCGCATCCCCATCTCGGAGGTGCAAAACCACCCGTGCAGCACGGGTGCGCCCGCTCACAGTTACGCTGCACCCAAAGCCACTCTCCCAGCGCCGGCACCGCCGTGTTGCTGCAGCAGCAGCACCAAGCACCAGCACCAGGGTTTTAGATCCAGCTTAAGAGTGTTTTCTCCTGACAAGGATAAACCCCTCTCAGCCTTTTAATGGTGTTTGGGAGACAGCTGCTCGTGGAGGCACCCTTGCACGCGTCCGAAGGGTGGGAGTGGGTGACGGAGGACGGGCGGTCGCCTTGGTCTGCCTTGCACCAAGGCATGGGGCTGGCCCCTGGTCCCCATAACCGGGGACATTCCGTGATGGGAGCGAAGCTGCTCCGTGCATCCCGGGAGCTGGACAGGCCCCTGCTCTCCCCTGGGCAGAGGGAGGAAGATGGAGACCCTCGCTCATGGCATAACCCCGCTAGTGAGGGGCCTGATCCTGCAGCCCAGGGCCCCGGGACTGGCCCACAGCCCTGCCACCACCCACCCCAAAACACAACCGGTCCCAACCCGGTTCCCACCTTGATGGCAGCACCAGCCCTGTCCCACCGGGCTCCCACGTGGCACCCAGCACCCATAAACTGCCCATCTCGGGGCATCCCAACATCATCCTGCTGGCACTGGGTGGGTTGAGCCAGGACAAGGAGGCTTAAAGAAAAGTAACATAACATATATACAGAATGCAGCCGCCCCAGCGGGCACCAGGTTCGTGTGCACCCATCCCCGCAAGGCTCAACCCCGTGGAAAGCTGGTCCTAGGGGATCCCCCCTCCGCGACAGCATCCGACTGGGGTGGGACCACCCTGCGGCGAAGACACCGCTCTCTGGGGGGGGGATGCTATAGGTTGGTGATGTACACCTCCAGCCCGTTGGCCGCCGTCCTGGTGGATGCTCGTCGGGATTCTGCCGCCCAAATGTCACCGACGCTTTCGTACAGGTTTTCGGGGGCACAGGGCTTCCCCGGCTTGTCCCGTTTTGCCGCCTTCTTCCAGTTAACGTCCACAGCCTCGTAGTCCGGCTCGGGGCTGCGGCCCTGAGCAGTCCAGGCTCTGTCGCTGATGGACTCGTAGCAGGGGTCGGGGGGGCCTTGGGCTGCCGAGGACCAGCACCCGGCCGGGGCACCCTCCTCCCGGCGGGGGGGCGGCCACCCAGCACCCACCTCCCTCTTGGCCCTCGGGGACGATGCGGGGACTTGGGTTTTCTTCTTGGTGGCTTTGCACACTGTCGAGTACATCTCTTCCAGCTGTGAAAGGAAGGTGGGGGTTCAGGGGCAATCCCTGCCCACCGCAAGGTATCCCCACGCCCGTGCCCCCCCGGCTTCCCAGACCCCCTAGGAGGATCCTGGCAGCGGATTAACCATGGGGGATCCTGCTTTTTGCACAACCCGGGGAGCCTTTTGCAAGGCACAGAGAGCAGCACCGTGGGCATCATCTGCTTGGTCTTGGCTTCATCCTGCCCCCCCCCAAAAGCTCCGCTGGAAATGCAGGAGCCTAATTTACACCCTGCTCCGAACATGGGCATTACAGCGAAGCAGGGCATCACATGGCAACACTTGCCCCATCCAGCCAGTGCAACACCAGCCCCATGCCCCATCCCTGCCATCCCCCCAGAGCCGTACCTTCGCCTGGGGAGCATCACCCACGCCGTCCCAGCACTGCAATGCTCTGGGAGGCCCCACCACGGCCCCATCCTGCACCTCCCCGGGCACCATCTTCTTCACTTTGCGGACACAGGCGTAATCGGCCGCCCCGTGCCCGGCACGTGGAGGGGGCAACTGGGTGCCAGCGGGCACGGAGGGCACCAGGGCATCCTCCCCTCCCACCGCCAGGCACTCATAGACCGTGTCCGGCACCGGCTTCCGCAGCGGGGTGAAGAGCAGGTTGGAGTAGGTCTGGTCGGGGGACGGGGAGGCAACTGGGGGGTCGGGGATGGGGATCTGGGGCAGCTCACGGTGCAGGAGGATGCTGATGCCGGGGCTGTGCAGGGAGTCGGCACTGGCCGTGGAGGCTGTGGGGCAGGGGAAATCCAGGCTGGCTGGCCGCTGGGCTGCGGGGAGAAGAGAGGAGATGGAGGGGACACTAGGAATGCAGCGAGCACCAACCCCTGCGCCGGCACCAACCCCTGCGCCAGCACCACGCGGGCACCGTGGCATTGCCACGATGCGCTTGGTGGACTGTGCGGGGACTACGGGCACCCATCAAGGGTCACCAGCCCATTGGCCACTCACTGTCATCCCTGGCCTTCACCCGGTACAGCTCGTGCAGCTTCGTGTCAGATTTGCTGAGCGACCGCAGCTGCGTCTGTCTGAGCAGGGACTGCAATGGGGGGAACGCACGCCGTCAGGCTCCTGGCTGGGAGTTGGGGTGCCCAGAGCTCCCCTGGGGTGGATCCTGCCCCCCCCAGTGTGCCCTTACCTCATCCACCAGCTTCACCCCATCTGGAGGGACCTTCTTCTTCCTGCCCTTGCTGCGGGGAGAAGTGGAGCTGAGCCCGATTCAAGTGGCCAAGCCGGGGGCAAGGAGCCAGTGCCCCAGGACCCCGACGTGGCCACGGTGGGCATTGCCACGTGCCCCTCGCCGGAGCAGCAGCACCCCCCCAAATCCACAACCCTGCTCCTTCGCCAGCCCTGCAGCAGGGTCCGTGCTGGCTGGGGAGGCCTCGATTGCATCCTGCACCCCACTGAGCCGTGCCGGACACCGCTGGCATCACCCCTGGCATCACCCATCCCACCCATTCTGCTTGCAGCTCAGCCCTCTCCAGGCTGCTCCTGCAAGACTTTTGGGTGCAGGGGGTGCAGCGGTGGCGGGGGGCGGGCAGCAAGGCACAGGGGTGCAGGATTAGACCAGGCAGAATTGTACTGGGGCTGCAGCTGGGGGTTCAGGGTGAACAGAGCAGCAGATCCCAGCGGTCCCAGCTCAGGACAGGCACACGTGGGGTCTCCACGTTCAGCCACCAAATGCCACCGAAGGGTCCCCAGCCCCATTCCCAGCACCAGGAGGCAAAGCAGAGGGGCGGCGGGCAGCACGTACCGTCTGCAGGCAGCGCACAGGGCGCCCAGGTAGACCAGGACACCGAGCAGGGCCAGGACAGCACCGGCCGGCAGGAGCGGGGTCCGTGCCAGCCCCTCGCCGCCGGCTGCAGCCATGGGGGACCCGCTTCTGACACCGCTGCGGGGTCAAGCTCTGGGGAGAAAAAACACGAGTCGGGGTGCAGCCGGGTGCTGCTGGGCTCACCATGGCACAAGATGGTGTTCCGTGGCCCCCCAGGGCTTGCCACGGCCTCTGCAGCGCAGCCCCCCCGGGGAAGGGGGTCTCTCCAGGTGCTCTGGAGGGGGACGTGCACCGGGGGCCCAATTTTCTGGCCGGCTCCTGCCCTCCCCAGGGCTGCCGCTCTGCCTCCAATGCTCTGCCCAGCAGCAGATGCTTTGCCACCCCCAGGGAATAACTTCAGATTTTGGTTCCTTTTAAAAAAACCCAAACCCAACAAACCCAACAGGATTCAAGCTCCCAAGTTGCCACCGAGATGTTGAAAAGGAGATGCCCTGAAAACCCTCTGGAGACATCCCAAAAGTGCCAGTGTGCTTTCTGGGGACACTGGGACACAGCCCCGGGTTGTGGGGTGGCCCAGACAGGACGGGGAAACAAATGACTCAGCTTCCCGGAAACAGGGTGAGCTTCAGCCTCACAGCCGCCTCTCCCTCCTCGCACCCTGGGCATGCCGGGATGCACTGGGACACCCTCCTTCCACAGCGGGTCTCGCCCTCTTCCCCTCCAAGCCCCATAGGATTTGGCCCCATCCACCCGTGCCATGCGACCTGCAGAGTTACGGGGGAGAAAATCCTGGGTGGGAGCGATGGTGCTGCCGGCACCACCAGCATCTCCCCATTTGCAGCACCATGCATGGCGAGCTCCCGGCCGGCCGAGCCCAGCCCAGCCTTGCAAACCCCACAGCGATATTTCTGCTCTCACAGGAACCCGAGTCGCTCCCTGCAGCATCCCAGCACGATCCGCGCTTGAGCCAGGAGCTGCGGGATCACAACCAAGCACCGTCCCGGCCACGTCGGCAATTCGGCACAGGCAGCGCGGCATACACGGACCCCCCCCACCACAACCCCGGTTTTGTAGCCGCTCTGTGCTGTGACACGAGAGCAGAAAATGCCTGACCTTTTGACCGCTTTCCTCTGCCTAAAGAAAAAGCCGTGCCTTGCCCAAACCCAGCGCTCTTCCCCGCGCCTTATTCAAGGAAAAACGGTCCTCCCCTGCAAACTACGGCGGCGGCAAGGCCAGAGCAAGTAGTGCAGAGGCATGAAGGTGCCGGGGAGCCCGACACAAATTGCGGATGCTCCCCAGCCCATCAGGATCCCACGCCTTTCCCAGGGGGGCTCTCGGTGACGCCTCATCCCATCGTCCCCGTCCCCGCTCGGCCGTCAGCGTGCTGCGAAGCCCAAAGCAGAAGCCGACACCGCTTCACCTGCGCCGATGTCGAGACGGCGGCTGCTGCTCCCAGCTCTGCCCAAGCCCAGCTCTGTGCACGCCCTGCTCCCCAAAAAGGCTGGTGTGCTACTAGAGAAGCGCATGCCCGCATCCGGAAAATGCCTGGTCCGAAGGGAGACCGAGGCAGTTCCCAGCACCGGAGTAAGGCATGGCTCGAAGAAGGCAGTCACTGATCCAGATTTGGCCAGCAGCAGAGTCCCCAGGCGGGACAGGGCTGGCACAGCCGAGCAGGACAGCTTCCACCGACGCAGCTGGGGACACAGAGATCCCATGGGACACGCCGAGCGCCTCTTACTCACCCTCTTACATATCTTAATCCGGAGACAAAGATCAGACGAGCGCCGATGAGAAACCGCCCTGCTTCGCACAGATCTCGGGTGCTACAGCAGCCCCAGCCCCACGGCGAGCGGGGAGGTCTGTGCCCATCGAGGGACCGATCTCGCTCCCCTCTGCCCTACGCCCTGTGTCACACCGCAGCATCTCCGCTGCGTCGTTACCCCAATAACCGGCAAGTCTCTGCCTACTTGTAGCACCTTTTTATCTGAGAACTTCCCACGCCTTTGGAAAGTTCCCTGACTGAAGCCTTAACCCCTGGAGAGCAATTACTTCAACGCAGAAAGTGAGACACGGAGGTTTTAGGGACTAACCGGGCTGGACAGACTGGCTTAGATCAGAGCTGGGAAGGGAAGGCTGTTCCCTCTCCAACGATATTTTAATTAGACAACACTACTTTTCTGTCTGAGCATACATTAATTAGACGGATTACCTGCAACATGGGCAGTCGCTTTAGACAGTCCTTGCTGAACTTGTTTAGCTCATTAGAGCGACAGGATCGCAGGCTGCAGAAGCAACTTCGTTCAGGGTAGAACTGAGCAGGCTCTGAGGTTTAGCAGACAAAATTATAACGAGGTACGACGGCTGTGAGATGGTGTTATGTCGGAATCAAAGTGCGAGCTTTTACCACGCTGAGACAGGCACACACAGGGCAACTTATCCCACAGCAGGTGGATTTTCCATCCCTGAGTTTTTAAGATTGAAGAAGGAAGGCAGAGGCTTCCTAAGTCAAAATTAACACAGAGAAATTCTTCTGACCTACTTTCTGTTGTGCAGGAGGTCAGTGGTTGCTCCTGGATTTCTGACCTATAAAAATGCCCAGTGCACGCTCAGCAGTCACTGGAAGAAACCACTTCTTGGGACAACACGTTGGTTCTCCCAAAATTACAAATTTGAGAGGAAAACCCAGGGCCTGACCGAAGCCGCTCACGTAGGACTAAGCAGGTTTGCAAGGCAGAAAGTCTCAAACGGACCTTCCGCAATGTACACCTGAATTCCCTGCCAATAAAGTTATTGATCTCCCAGTCCTGGGGCTATTCTCCGGGGCAGGAGACTCAGCAGACAGCATTTCATAACACGCTGGCTCCACAAGCCAAGATGGCTTTGAACATGAGAGCAGTCACAGCCGTTGCATATGTGCGACGCGCACCCACGGCCCACCGAGGAGGGAATAACTCCCTTTTGTGATACCTGAGCACAGGCACGATAAATGCAGTTGGTTTTTTACTTGTGACTCCTACAAAAGGCACAAGTTTCTCAGCTGGGCTTCATGAAAACAAGATTAAATTTATTGTAAAATTAAGTGCTGCTGCTGCTGCTGATTTTGCTTGGCCTCTGATTCATCTACCCAGATAAAACCGCACACAGTGTTTGGTACAGGGTGACGAGAAGAAAGTCTATGAAACTACTAAAAGCGTATTTGCAAGAAACCAGGGCGAACATTACAAGCTGATTTCCATCAGTGATTGCGAACATGGCTGCAGCAAACACAGCTCGGGTACCCTGGGGAGTTGCACTGAAAAAAAGTCCCAAGAAGCAGAAGTAGGTCTTTTTTTTTTTCTTTTCAATTATGAAGAGTGAAAGCCCCGTAACAATTAGTCAACAACGCTGAATCTGCCCTAGACCATGGGATGCAATTAGTACATCTTAAGACTATTTCAAACATGGAGCAGGGATGAGATCTCACCCACTTCACTCGCATTTCTGCAGCAGGGGGGAGAGATTTCACGGTCAAACTCCTGTGGAGGCGTTTCATTTAGAAAGGGCCAACTATATTTCTACACGCCAGACCCAAATGTCACAAAACTTGGACGCATGCTTCTAATTACAGTTCTGATCATTACTCATATGCCAGAGTGGCTTTTGTGAAAATATAGTCTTACGCCTTAAGGTAAGTGACCCGCCTGCTCACACCATGTGGCTTTGGTCGAGGCTGACATCATTTCAGCATTTTTCTCTCTTCCTGCCCTTCCGTGACTGCTGGAAACGTCCTCACTTGGGCAGAGAAATGCACTTTCAAGCAGAAGCCGAGAACCTGCTAGAGAGATTTTCTGCAGAGCTGAGCCACAGAAGGACACCAGCAGAGACCTTGGTTCTGCAGTTATAGGAAGCCAGATTCCAAAATACAGGATGGGCATATTAAGGAGAAACATGTTTTCTCGAGAATCACCTGCCTACCACAGTGGTTTTCTTGCCACACATTCAGGAGTTTTACATAATTTCAGGTTTACAGAGGACAGCGTTTCAACGATCACACTCTCTCAAGCCTTCTCACCTGCAGCCAGGAGCTCAGCTGTTCCCCAAGAGCTGTTCCACATGCAAGCAACAACTCTAGTCCCCCTCCCCACAAGACAACTGGAAATTTTTCTGTTGAAAAAAAAAAAAAGAATGCCACACACCTCTGAACTCAACAATTAATTCCCCAAGAAAGTAATCGGTTCCCACTCAACCTCTAGATTCAAGCCACGGAACCCCAGCAGTGTTGCCAAGCTCAAGCACCTTTTCTTCCTTTGTAAGCCCAGATGCTCGCAAAGCACAAAGCATTAAGCAGCACAAAGCTCGCAGCCCTCCTCGCAGCCGACTGAAAGTTTAACCCAGCTGATACTTCCCCACTGCAGCATTACAAGTAGGAATCCTGCCTGTCCAGTCTAGCTAGCCGCAACGGCGTCTCCGACAACATTGGAATTTCTATATAGATCAGGGTTTTTTAAAGTATTTTTCAGCCCCTGGTGTAGCTGTGGATACCCGAGTTTGCCAGGCAAGAAAGCAAACACCACTTACTTAGCAGAAACTCAAAAGCCGGCGAGTGTGAAGAGTGGGAATCCGATCATGCTCTCTTCCTTGCCAGCCAACCTGGAGAATTTCATTTCTTTTATCCCACAGAGTTACTCCTCGTTAGGGGTTTCCAAACATTTCAAACATCTCGATCTGAGCTCTCCCACTCCTCTTTATCTCCTGCTAGAGCAGACAGCTCTGAGCAGATACCATGCAGCACACACCACAGCTCGCTTCCTGGCCCGCAGAGGTGGTTGCTTCACCCAATGGTAGGCTGGGTTTCTCCCCGCCTTGGCTGCGAGCAGCGCTGCAGACGGGCTCTGCAGGCACCCGGCACATAAGAGCACCCTCTGCCGCGCTCCACTTCCCACCGAGCTAGTTTTAGTGCCAGCTCTCTATCCGCAGGGGAATATAAGGAAAGAATGGGTCGCCACAGATCATCATTACCTTGCAAATGAACAACGCCTTACAAGGACAGAGAGGAAAAAAAAAATAAAAAACAACTTTATTCACCAGGGACGTGAACTGTCTTGGGTGGGAGGGA